TGCAATGGTCCAATACCCATAACAAGGTAATAACAATAAGGCCAGAGAATAGGAAGCCACAGAAACAACAGAAAAATACACTAAACTTTTGTGTTTAACACAAATAAAATCCACTAATTCATAAAATAAAAGATAAAAAAAATTTGGCGACCATTCGAGCCGGGAGGGAGGGAGTGGACAGCATGCTGGACTGTGATCCTGTGGTCCCGGGTTCGATCCCGGGCGCCGGCGTGAAACAATGGGCAGAGTTTCTTTCACCCTATGCCCCTGTTACCTAGCAGTAAATAGGTACCTGGGTGTTAGTCAGCTGTCACGGGCTGCTTTCTGGGGATGGAGGCCTGGTCGAGGACCGGGCCGCGGGGACACTAAAGCCCCGAAATCATCTCAAGATAAGATTCCCGGAAAGTATATAATGATACGGGCAGCGTGTGCACGCCCGCCCCATACAGGGACAGTCTTTAGGAGTCTGGTCAAGAAATCCTTCACACAATTGTTTATCAAACCCTTCCTCCGAATAGACTACGTTTTAATACTAAATGTAATAAGTACATTCCTGACTGTCTGCATAGTACATAAATACACTTAATTGTGCCGTTACATTTACCTCCCCATATATTCTCCTCATTTTCTGTTAATACACTCAAAATTGTTAGGTTGAAGTTTTCGTGTTCAATTCTATATACTTGAGTTTTAAATATAAAGAATTTATTTTTCAGTTTTATTAAACAATAGAGATTTATACAAAATTTTAAAATATCCTGAGTTACTTTATAACTTATTGAAAGACTTTAGTTTTGTTTTATCAGTTTTATAAAATTGTAATATCAATATAGCTATAGGTTAAGTGCTAATTACAATTAAGAAACAATAAATGCTATTTACATGCTTGTCCTCCTACACTGCCAAGGTTAGGTTAGGTCGTGGTGTTCTACACAGCTTTTCAGGTAAACTCTAATATTCACAATATTTTGGTGCGATGCTGGCGATTAAGTGTATTTATGTACTATGCCGATAATCAGGATTGTACTTATTACATTTAGTATTAAAATGTACTCTCTCTCTTCGGAGGATGGGCTGTAAATCCTGGTCAAGGTGGAGAGGGCACAGGTGGACCCTGGCAAGTCATGGCAATGTAAAGTATTCCTTCACTGTACCACTAGCGAAGTATAAACAAAATATAAAGTATATACACAAATATAAAGAGGTAAGGTATAATCAAACACCATTCATAGTCTTACGAACAGATATCATGAAGAACAAAAGAGTTGGGAATCATACAATACGTAAGAGGCAGCCAAAACGATGGATCCAGGAGCTGGAGCTTGACCCCGGCGTGTACTACAACTAAACAAGCAGAAAAACACACACACACAAACATCCACTTTTTACTTCCTCTCATGAGGAAATTAGTCAACATTTTAACACAAAAGTCGCCTTCATGTGAAAGCAAACTAATGGTAGACATGTAGAGACATGTTATCACGTAGAGTGAGACGTGTAAACATGTAGACTGAGATATGTAGACAAGGTGAGTAAACACCCTGACTGGTATGAACTTGAGTAAACGTATAGCAATACCGTCTGGGCCGGGAGCACCATTGCTACTTGCCTTGAGAGCAACAAGGATGTCCTCTGATGTAGAGACATGTAAACATGTAGAGTGAGACATGTTAATATGTAGTGAGGCATGTTAACATGTAGAGTGAGACGGGCGGACAAGCACACACAAGCAGGTGGACGGACAGACAAGTAGACAGGTAGCCCGTTGGACAGACAACCAAAAGAAGACATAACAGATAAACATATACACACGTACAAGAAAAACTAAATTAAACAAAGGTAAAAGCGACAATGCATTATTAAATGAATTCATACATAGAGACAGACAGACAGAGTATACCAAGAAAGAGGGTACGCGGGGTATAAGACCAAGCTGGCTGATGAGACTTGAAGGTAATCTTGAGCAACTAAACTGTGAGCAGAATTTTAATGAACACAAATCCCCCTCGGAAGGGTAGGCTACGACTGGAGGCTTCGAAACTGTAACAATAAGATTTAAATTTTTTTAATCATGAGAACAAATCATATTGACTACACATGTCTCGATGAATAACCCAACTCGTATGTAATATTCCTAATGTGTTAAAGATATCTGTTATTTAGGGGTAAAAATGCTTAAAAAAGTCCCAAACAACCAATCTTAGCTCAAAGGTTTGTACAATACTAAATACCTTTTGTGTGGTTTACTGGAGGACGGTGGGGGGGGGGGGGGGGAGGTGTTATGAAGCATAGGGCCCGAGGCGCCCAGTGCTGCACTCCGGCGGCAGGCTATACCAGTAGGCCTCAAGGCTGCCATTGTGTATTGCTCACCACACA